GGTGTATTTTAAACTAAATATATGCATAACATTACTTTGAAGGTTTTGCATTTAAAACACCAAATGTAATTGCTTCCCAGCTTCTTATTTCTTCCACACTATATGAAATACAGTATGCAAGGCTATGAGCAAACATGGCTTTATTTCATTGAATAATCAAGTATATATCAAGGTCTGTAAACTTCAAGGGGGAGCCCCAGATAAAGTACATCTGCCTCATGCCATAGGGAAAATTAGGCAAGACAGTGAAGCTTCCCCCTATTTAATTATGTCTGCAATGTCAACTGATGGCAAGTGAGTACTGATGCAGAGCTGGCAGAGGAAGCTAATGATAGCTAAATTGCCCCTAAAATTTCCAAAGGTCAGGCAGGGGTAGTGTAGGAAAAGTTTTCAAGAAAAATGCTGCTTAACTTGGTGAAAATTTTTAAAAACGCAGCTGCAATTCCAGTGCTGTCAGCAGCAGCAACAACAATAGTAGAATTTACACCTTAACGACCAGTGCCGTTAGAGCTTCAAGGGGAGGCAGGGGCTGTCCAACAGACACCACGGAGCACTGACATCACAGGAGCTGGGGCTAACCCCTAATGCCAAGTAGCTGGGGTACAGAAGGCAGCCCACAGAACTGAATAATTAATTACGTAAGGAAGGGAATCTAGAATTTCTAGTGATTGACTGGAGAACATTTCTTCATAAACCAGAAAAGGTCCAGAAAGGCACAACTAAACTCAATACTCAAAAATGTTAAATCCTAGTTGGTATTTTTGTAATTCTTGGAAGTTCTGTTTATATTTGTTAGGAATGAGACAGCACACATTTGCGATATGAAGTGCATGGATTTACCCTGGGCACAAAACAGGATGACTGCTCTTCGGCATTGCTCATCATAGTAATCAAGAAGCAGAGCTCGCCCGCCAGTTTGCTCAGTGGTTAGAGCGCCGGCCTTCGGACGGAAGGGTCCCGAGTTCTATTTCGGCCAAGGGCATGTACCTCAGTTGCAGGCTCAATCTCCAGCCCTGGTCGGTACGAAAACAGGAGGCAACCAATTGATGTGTCTCTCTCACATCCATGTCTCTCTCTCTCTCTCTCTCTCCCTTCCACTCTCTCTGAAAAAGCAATGGAAAAAATATCCTCAGGCGAGGATTTAAAAAAAAAAAAAAAAAAAAAGCAGAGCTAACCATTCAGAAAAGCAGCACAATATATTAGTTTACTAATAATGAGACTAATATATATAGCTCAGGCTTTGGAATCAGAAACACCTTCTCATGCCTGCCACATACTGTGATTCATTGGGCAAGTTACTGAACCTCTCTGATCCTCACTATAACTGCCTATAAAAATGGGTGGGGGAAATTAAGGTAAAGAATTGAACTTTTTTTTAGGTGGACTGTATCATCTCAGTAAATTCTATCCACTATGATTATTATTAACCAGGACCTCAATGAATACCTTTTGCTTAGAGAAGGGAGATTTTCCAGCCTTCTCTCCATCTCTCAATGTCTTGCTGATATTTGATACCCATTTCTGTAATTCTTTGGCTTTTTCAACATGCTCTTTCTTTTCTTCTTCCAGTGACTTCTGATAGGTGTAAGTAGTAAAAAAAGATATATTCCAGTAAGTGACTGAGCTTTGAAACTCACCTCTCCACAGAAAACAAGTGTAAAAATGTGTTTTTATCACACACAGGTTAATGAGATCTTTTATTCATTCACTTAACCATGCTTATCACGTCACATAGCAGAGGTACTTCCAAAATGTTTATGGTAGCAAAGGAAGCTGTCACAAACATTCTTTAATGATCAGCCTAATCTCCCAGCTGGCTATCAATATGGCAAATAAAAAAAACTCAATTTTATTCATGAAGCACTAGAAGATCTCTGAATTGCTGCCTTTGCATTAGCATTACAAACACAACTGTCTTGGCAGAAAAGTATGAGAAGACAATGGAAAGCCGAAAGAACAGAGAATGTGTACACATATTTGAAAAATACACAGAATGAAGAAAAATCTTTCCCCCTCTTCCAACACACAACCCATTCATCATAAAACTAGAAACAGGACATTGTGGTAAACATTTAATATGTAAAGAAGGTTACTACAACAGAAAAACTAAACACTTTTTCATTTTTCAAGGCAATCTGAAACACTGTAGCCTCAGGGATGCTGGGAAAGAACTGTACATCTCTCTCTTTGATTCCATAGTGCTTTTTTGGAGTGCTCTTTCAGTGAGTGTATGGGATCATTTAATAAAGAGGAACCCTAACATCAGGCTGGATCTCTTCAGTGATGGAGCGTTCTAAAGAAAGGATCCTCTGAACCTGTTGTTCATCAAGCTGATATTGCACTCTAAGTAAAATACTCTTATTTTTAGTGTGGGCAAGATTGAAAAAAATTAATCTTAAAGCCAAATGAAGCCAGTAAATCTTTTGTTATTTTCAATTTAAAAATTATCCTCCTTTCTGAACAGTCAGCTATTATTTCCAGCCCTCCAGAAATAAATACTGCTTTGAGTATGCGACACGATTACTAGAGTGTATATTTAACTTGTATCATTGTGCCCTTCAGATCCATGAGCCAGACAGCATCACTCCTGTGCGCAGTTACTTCGACATGTCCTACTGTGAAGAATAATACAGGCTAGAAATCCCTGTCATCAAGGGTTCGGATACTTCTAAGAGTTTAAGTCCTGTGTGGAAATCAAAATCAGCTTTTTCTAAGGCTTCTTTATAGGTCAACTTTCTTTTTGTTTGGGGACATATTATACTTCTGACATAAGACTTTTGATCTTTGAGGTTTGTTGCAAGGAAGACATCTATAATACCTACTTGGAGAGCCTCTTCTATTGACAAGCGGGAGTGACCCTGTGGCTCTATCAGCCCCCCAGTCAAGTACTGAAACTCCAAACATCTGATTCCCATTTCCTTACTGATGATATTTGCTTTAACAGCTCCCATCACTGACATCGATTTGTTCGTGACTGGATGGCCAATCCCTGTGATGACTAATTCGCACTGTCGCAGCTGCTGGGCAAACCCCTCGTCAACTAGGCCTCTATGCAAAGCTTCGGCCACCCGGTACCTTTTGCCAGTAAGGGGATCAATTATCCCCCCTGTACTGACTTGGGCTTCAAGGCATCTGAGGGCAGTAATCCGATCAATCAGATTTCTACGGGAGGCCTTTAGGACAGAGATCCTTTCTCCACTAGAAGTCAGCCAATACCCTGCAATAGGACTATGCAAATCCTTCTTGGGAACCAACCGGCTCAGCAAAGAATCGGCAAGTTCTGTAAGTGTGATGAGGCCTTCCTGATACTTTTTGACGAAGGCTTTGTCAAGTGTTCCCTGCTCTACAGCCTCATTAATATTGAACTGCAGTCCTGTTTTAGCATCAGCCAGCATATGAGAAGGATGGCCATAGGATTCAAAAAACGTGGCTTCCCTCCATTGGTATTGCTGCCCTGAGAGCTCAAGATAAGTACTTTTTTCAATTATGTTTCTCTGGAAAGCCTCATATGCAGTCAGTTCTGCTCCTGTCTTAGTATCTACTACAGAAATCCTATGAGTTTTTGCTACATTGAGATTGGAAATGTTCCTCTCCCCGAATGGAAACAGGAAGCACTGGCAATCTACATCGAATACACACATTCGCAGTAATTCTGAGTAATACAGAGCTTGCTTGTTATTGGGGTTAGGAAAAACTCTTGTGTTGCTTGATGGTTCATGTAAAAACTGGAGGATGGCATTATTTAACAAACCTTGCTGCAGAGCAATTTCTGGTGGAACACGGATGCCTCTCACAGGGTCAATGATGCCCCCACTGGCAATCTGGGCCTCTAAGATATGTTTACCTTTTTGTCTGTCAAGCACTCTATTTTCCATAGCTTGAAACACTGACAAAGTCTGAGAATTATATGAATATCCCAAGGCTGCCTTCTCTGCCTCAAGGAGCCTAATTCTGAACTCGGGGTCAATAACTTCTTTAAGGATTGCATCTTCAACAGAATACGTCTGACCTGAAATGGGATCGATTATAAAACCTGTTGCAGCCTGAGCTTCTAAAAATGCTAAAGCGATCATTTTGTCTATTATGATTTTCTTGGCTGCTGAGGCAAATGAAATCTTCTCTTTTGTAGATTCTAGATAAAGCCCTGCAATTGAGGTGGCTTTTGTCAAAAACTTGCTAAGAGTTTTCTGAACTTCTTCAACAGTCTTAAGACCAAGTCGCAGCTGCTCAATTGTTTTCATGTCCAGAAGCTTAGCCTCAACCAAATGCCTGGCAGTCACAGTATGCCGGAGCCCTTGGAATGTAAATTCATCGTCCCTAACCAGAGACGAATGATCGCCATCAACGTTCTGGAAGGTCTCTGGTTCTACGCCTCTCTTAAGAAAATCTCCTCTCTTGAGTCCAAGCATCCATTCTTCAGCACTGGAAACGGGGTTCTTTTCTTGTTTTAATGTCGTGATTTCTGTATGCATATCATACTGCTTGTTCTTAGCTATCTGTAACAGGAATTTATAAGGCATTAAAAGTCACCTAAAGAACATTATGTCGCTTTACCCATTCTTAATCCAAATACAATTCCTAGAATAGCAAAGATAAGAGAAGAAAAATGTCAAACTAAAGAGGGTTCAGGAACAAGTAATATACTTTCACCGTCTACAGCTTACTTTAGATGAAAATTAAGGTATTAAAATGGTATGAAGGTGAAAGAATTAAGCAAAATAATAATAAACCCTCATAGACAACCAGAGGGAAAGCGGGGTGGGAGGAGGTAAGAGAGGGTAAGTGGAGAATAAACGGTGAAGGAAGAAGACTTGACTTTGAGTGATGAACACACAGTACAATATACAAATGATATATTATAGAACTGTACATCTGAAACCTATAAAATTTTATTAACCAATGCCACCTCAATAAATTTAATAAAAGAGAGGGAAAAAAAGACAGATGAAATTAGTCTAGAGAACATCTTAGAAATTAAAATAAACTACTTAGTTTTTCTAGCCTTTTTTATGGGCATATTTTTCAGACTATAACCCCATAGATATAACAGTATAACCATTATATCTGGGTATTTAATCTCAAACATTTAAAAATTAAAGACTGATAATTTGTAGTAAAGAATCAAGTAAATCACTAGAAAACAGTACCATTGTTTTCTGTCAGAATATCGAAGAGCCAGTCACATTTAACATTATTTTTAAAAAAATCTGGTCTGGCAGAGAAAGGAAACAAGAGAGGAAACTTAATATAGGTAGCTGATAAAGTCTCAGAATCCAGATTATACCTCTAAGGGTGCCAAAAGCTTCACCAGGTCCACTTCACACTTGTCATCTTGACATCTCATAGTTGGTCTGGAATTGTACAGAGTGTGATCTCTTATCTTCTCTATTTCTGATAGTCTCGAAATAGGGTTTTTCTCATCAAAAGTTATCTGCAATTCAGTGCTTGTTTGAGAAAAATACTCAGAGTAACACTGCTGGCTTTTCTCTTTCTCTGGTGGAGCCCTGGATGGCCAGTACTGGGAGTCCTTTTGTTCAACAACCCGATGTTGCCATTTGTCTTCCAACTTCTGTGGTTCTTGAGCCCATCTCAAGAGAGGAGATCTGGCTGTTGGGTGAGGCTGTCCTGTGTTCCTAGAGGACAGGTCCCTGGAGTATTGACACTCCTTCATGGCCGCCTCAAAATCTGGTTTGAAGGTATAGTCTTTGGCCGGGCTCTTTTTCTGGATTTCACACTGGAGCAAAACTAATTGGTGCTCGTGTTCCTTCACCTGTTGATCCATTTTTTGCTTCAGGTTTTCAACCTCCCGCTTCTGGGCTACCAGCTCCTCTTCAAGTTTCCGGCATTTCTGGTAATGATTTGCTTCCACATTCTGCCCTTGTTGGATGTGCTCGCGATATTGCTGAAGCTGTCTTTCAAGTTCTCGAATAGTTGTTTCACAGAGCCTAGCATTCTCTTGGGCTCTGCAGTTTTCTTGCTGAAGAGACACAAAGTCGAGCTTGATGCCTGAAATGTCACTTTCAGTGATGACTTTGGAGCCCATTAATTTTTCCATCTTTTTCCGAAACTCCTCCGCCGAACGTTTGAATTTATCAGACTCTTCCTGAAACAAGACCATCTTTCTGTGGATCATCTGCTCCTCTATGGTCTTTAAGTGCAGCTCGTCTTGTACCCTTTTCAACCTGTTATTTAACTCCTGGACCTGAGCTTGCTGGAGCTGCACCTTCTGCTCCCCTAGTCGCTTTTCCTCTTTGGAAGCATTCAGCTCGGCGTTCAGATTTCTGACCTCTTTCTCAGTGTTCTGGATGATAATGTTCTGGTGGTCACACTTTTGCTTAAATTCACTTACTAAATTCTGACTTCTGGCCAGGTCTTCTTCTAGGCATTTGATTCTTTTATGGAAATCCTGCTCTGTTTTCGTCTGCTTATGCAAGTGTTCGTTGGTGTTGCGCAGCTGATCTTTAAAAGCATCTGCCTGAATTTTCAGGGCTTCGCACCTCTGCTGGATAGCTTGTTTCTCTAAAACCACGCTGGTCGATTCCGCCTGAATTCTCTGCATCGCCAGCTTGGTTTCATTATTCTGCCTAATGAGCTCATCTACCTTTTGTTTTTGCATTTCTGCACACTTATTACTTTTCTCCAATTCTTCCTTAAGCTTTTGGATTTTACCGTCGTTTTCTTTCTCAGCCTTAATATTCTGAAGCAACTGCGCGTGGCTTTTCTCAAATTGCTCCTTCAGATGGTCTGACTTCCTCTGGCAGAGCCGCATTCTTTCACTGGAGACATCCTTCTCATCCGCAAAGGAACCCACCTGCGATTTCAAATGCTGGATACTCCTCTCGGTCACGGCGTGCGTCCTGGTGATGCTGTCCACCTCGCGCTGCAGTTTCCCCTTCTCCTGCTGCAGCGACTCTAACTGGACCTCGTAGCTGCGCTTCACTTTCTTCAGGTCGTTCGCCTCCTGCATGACTTCTTCGGCTTGATCCGAGGTCTGGTTCAAGCGCCGCCCCAGTTCCCGGAGCTGCTGAGAATACCCCTCCTCGGCCTGGTCCTTGCGCTCCAGCTCCAGCTTAAGGCCCCGGAGGGCAGTATTGGTCTCGTCCAGCTTTTCTTTCAGCATGCGCGCCTTCTCCTCCGACGAAGTCTTTTCCAGCTGGAGGGCGTTCAGCTCGAACTTCAGCTCCCGCACGTCTTTCTCCGCCTTCCTGTTGGCCGCCATGAGCTCGCGCACCCGCTCCTCCAGCTCCTCGGGCGCGCGCCTGTGCGGGAGGCCTCCTTCCACCTGCTTTATCCGCATCAGGAGCGCCTCCTCGTCGTCTCTCTTTCTCCTTAGCTCTTCCAGGAGCTGGTTTTTCTGCTGCTCCAAGCCGCTG